ACATTCACAGTATAAATTGTTCTCGTACAAGTGAGACAATGAAGTGCCCGTAGTGACGCTAGCGCAACGATTGAGGAAGACCCAAATCAGTTTCTCACACGTCGTTCTCAAGCGTTGGACATCTCTGTGACGTCGTTGTGGCGAATTTTGGGAAAAGATTTTGAYCTRCATCCTTTCAAGGTCAAATTGATGCAAGATCTGAAACCGCTTGACYACCAGAATCGTCATATGTTCGTGAATTGGGCTCAGCAACAACTTGGAAATGATCCGAATTTTCATCGAAAATTTTTCTTCAGCGATGAGGTTCATTCCTGGCTAAATGGCTTCGTTAATAAGCAAAATATGGGTTATTGGTGAGGCAGAAATCCACTCGTACTTTATGTGTCACCATTGCATGCCGAAAAAATTACGGTTTGCTGCAGTTTATGGACTGGTGGCGTATTTCTTCCGTGATGATCAAGACCGGCACTTTCTGTTAATGGGAATCGCTCAATGATAACAGAATATTTTTTGTCCGAGTTGGATGATATGGACGGCGCCACAAACCACACAGTGAATACCACTATCGATTAATTGAAAACAAAGCTTGATGAACGTGTTATCTCACGAAATGGTCCAGTCAATTGGYCGSCACGGTYGTGTTATTTGACGATATTAGACTATTACCTGATTGATCGGTCGGTTTATATGGCAGCTTTATGATATAGTGGACTGATATTGATGGTTCTGACATATGAGTAACTTCCTAGAAAGAAAACGAACTATGCAAATTTTCAATTCGATATTTCAAAAACTATGGGACTAGTACGTCTAGTTCCCTTATAAAAAAATTTTCTTCTTTCGACTTAATCTGTTGCTGTAATAACAAGAACAATATTTTCACATATCAAACTGACTTCTAACAAATTGGTAATTGGAATAAGAATTGTCCCCAAAAGCTTAAAAATTATTTGCTACCATTTAAAGCACTTCTAGGCTATACTGCTCCCGATAATATTATATTTTGTTGTAGAAATAGAGCAAACCATAAAAGGTAATGCAAGCGACAAGAATACACAAAGAGCAGAGAACAGAACACAGGGGCACATGCAACAATT